TTTCTTCATCCGCTTCGGAGCTCAAATCTTCAATTGCTAATAAAGGAGTTGTACTTCTGTTTGCAATTCAGATTTTCCAACGGAAAGAAAGCTAGAACAAGATCATTCGGGTGTTGCTAAAAGGGTCGGTGTCTTGATGGTTAAAATATCTTTGAATAGATTTAGGGCGTTTGCCATTCCTTTCCTTGCAACTGACACCTTGTATGCTTTTTCAGGACAGAGAGGTGACAATCTCCTTGGCATCAGCTTCATGCAGAACTGATCTGAACTCTCATGGTGATTGCAAAACACTCTTATATTTGTTCACTAGCATGCATAAAAAAATATTAATCTTCTTATTGACATGCTGTTGCCGACAATATGCAGGTGATCTAGGAGTACTTTATGAAGAAAACTCTTGTTCCAGTCCAAGTAGATCAATCTGTGCTTCCAGTACTACATATGGTGAAGGTGAGTATGTTGCTTGTACTCTTTCTATCATTTTTTTGGGTACCCAAGAAGGCCAATGAACTGAAGCCTAATCTGCTGATGACTGTTTTCTGGAAATAGGCTGGGATCCTCTTATGAACATTGATCTTTCCCCGACTAAAGCACTACGTGCTGCAATGCTGAAGAGCCGATTTGCTGACACCATCATCAAAGCGAAACAGAAATCGTTTCCAGTTGATGTAATTCCTTGCCTTTTCCTCTTGAGAGAACCTATAACATACACTAGTTAAGTTGTTTGGTTTGAGACAGCTGTTTATTGCTGAATCAGGGTGATAAGGCTGATCTGCATAGAATGCAGCAGGAAAGAGCCCAACTAGAAAAGCAGCAGCTTGAAGGTAAGATGGGTTTTTCAAATTTTTTATTTTTGTATTTTTTGTAATTGAAGGTAAGATGGTTTATGTTGTGTGATTGATTGATGGACTTCTTATGGTAGTAGCTCAAATGTAATTGGGATAATAAACTCCAGCAGTTTTATCTGTAAAAACTCTTAAGTAATTTCAACACACTCCCATCTCAAAAAGTAATTTCAACACATGAACGTGGAATCACAATCTCTATATGGCTTGTTATCAATATTGATGCAGATAAAATAGAGGATTGCCTACTTATAAAACAAAACAAAATTATACAAAACAGAAGGATATTTTCATTAATTTTTTTTAATGGCCAACTGTTGCTTTATGCACTGTCACCATTTCTAGACCTGCCATGGATTCTAGAAAGCTCTTAATGTGATGTTAATTAATCTTCTGGAGTGCCCTGGATTAGAATAGGCTATAGTAGCTGAATGGACAGAAGCTTCAAACTATCTGATGAGCCAAAAACAAGTCCATTAAGGCGTGTATTAAGTTTTTCCTGTTTGGTTGTAGTGTTTGGATTTGGTTTAAAAACCATTTCAAACCAAATCAAGCTCAGGTTGATTGGATTTTTCCTTCTCGGTTTGTTTTTTCCTGGATTGGTTTTTCAGAGTTTTAGCTTTGTTGCCTTCTCCTCTTTATTAGCTATGAAATTTGGTGAATTTTAATGTGTATTGGAAACTTTCAACATATCACATCGGTATATTAAATGGACGTCAGTAGTTTCAAACTAAATTAGATCTCAAGCATATCTTATTTTTTATCCTGAGAAATCTGGAGCCAACCCTTAGGACAAACTGCAGCCTCCGAAACTCGGTGATGATGGGCTGGCCTCTGTATCCTTCTCCACTTAATACTGGGCTTAGTTCGTTTGGCTTAGGGATCAAATTTGTGACCCTAAGCCTCAAATCTCTCAACCTTTGCCAAGTGAGCTAATCCCTGTGGGCTCATATCTAGATTTAGCATGTTTTCTGCAGATATAGATGGTTTCATAAACAACAAAATGTAGGTTTGTTTCCACAAAATCTTTCCGGGAAGAGAAACTTAAACTAATATTTATCGTGCAAACTCATAACACAAAAGTAATCTTATATACTGAAATGTTTGCAGTAAAGCTCTCACTATGGCAAATGGGAAACAATAGCATAAGGATGGTTAATTTCACTCGCAAAAATGACATAATAAACAACTGAAAATTCTTGATGCTCAATACAAAGTGACAGATAAAGCAAATAGATACTATCTGATGATTCATTATGTTTTGTGTGAGTCACATGATTGCAATCAAAATATTTAGTGCCCTTTGGTTGTAAAAGTGAGAAAAATGAAAGACTGAGAAAGATTGCAACCCAGGAAGAATTTTTTGTGAGGTTAATAAAGTTGCAAAATCCTAACTTACTAAGATCATGAGATATTTAAATGCTAAAGAAAAATAGAAAAACACTGCGGTTTTTGGGGTTTTATTGGAAATATCCGAATCCCAACCAAATAATTGAAGATTTTAAATTCTCAACGTGAAACCAAACCAAAAATTATAACGGAACAATCAAATCAAATAATCAAAATTTTCGCCGGTTTGGTTATTTATTTTGACCATCTACCTTGGAGTAAATCTAGGTGTTGCGAGGCTGAAGTAGTTGACGGCCTTTTTTCATTATATCTCTCTTTTGAGGTTGTCTACTCGGTGGATAAATCTGTGATATTTCGAGAGAGACAGGCAGTACGTCTATGTATTAAGTGGTTACGTCTCAAGTTAACTGTACATGATTTTTTTTATTTTACGTGTGCTGTTTCTCTAACAGAACATTGGGTGTGTGCAGAGAAAGCTCGCATTGAGGCAGAACTTAAAGCTGCGGAAGTTGCCTCTCGAAGGAAGGCAGAGGCTGATTTAAAGATGCAGCGGGAGAGACAACGGGAAGCTGCCCGGATTGCTCTACAGAAGGTTGGCTGTTACTTTTGAAGCTATCCCTCCTCCCCTCCGCCCCCAACCCACTCTTACACATCCCTCCCCAACCACCAATACTCCCTCTTTCCAAAATTGAAAAAAAGTAAGGAAGAAGGAGAGTCGAATAACAAATGAAGAAAATATATCCCCATACCAATTATAATAACTGAATTCCTTTTCTTTAGTAAGAATCTTTTTTCTGCCTGAACAGATGGAAAGGACCGTTGAATTTGAAGACAATTTGAAGATACTAAGAGACCTCGAAAAACTATGTAAATGCTGCTCAGAAGCTGAGAATCTCTCTGGTAATGGAGATGGATTCACAATCATATTGGGGGACAACCCGCTGGAAAGGCTTGGCTTATGCATCAAAGAGGATTACTTAAATGATGATGAAGATGAAATATTGAATGGAGACTGGGAAGATGGGGAGATCTCCGCATAGAGGCGGTGCCTCTGCACATTTTTGTCAATCTTTTCTTGTTCCTTACCTCTTGTCCATAGTAGACTGCTCTGTGTAAATGCGCAACAATTTTTATCCCAGCCTTGATTTGTTCATAGCGCAATAATGTATTTAACTGCATATATGTATACGTATTCCAGCTTGTGATATACTAAGTAGAGCAAGATGGACTCAATCGCTCCAGTCTTTGATTTCAAGGTTCCAGTTATGCATATCCGTCTCTACGTCCCAGAGAAACGATCAGACAAGAACATTGTCTAGGATCACATGGTTTACTGCTTTTGCTGGTGCGTTATGCCTTTAATGGAATATTTAGATAAGTATGATAGGTAACAAAACAAACTGAAATTGCCAACTGCAGCCAAATTTCACAAATAATGAAGCCAAACCACTGCTAATTGATCACCCTTCACGTCAGTGGTAAAGTAATCAATTCTTCAGCTGCAAACAAGAAAATAATTCTCTGTACGGAGTAGGAACATTCAAACATTGATGCAAAACTCACAGCCGAAATGCTTAACAACATTACTCCTCACCCAATTTCTTAACATGGTACAGAATCAGATTCTTCTCTGTTCTCTGTTCTTAGTTTCCATGCTATATTGTTCACGCATTCATAATCTTGCATGGTAGTAGTCTTGTTTGCTGGAAATTAAATATGGAGGCAGAAGCTCTAGTGTTGCTTCATATTTTGGAATGGTAAATGGATTTTAAAAATTGGCAGGTACATGTGAAATTCGAATGCCCTAATTGTGTGAAGATGGCAACGAGGCTACGGGCGATTTCCCCGGAAATTTTCGAGAACTATAAAACTTGTTCCTTTTTAACTTGGGATCACGTACGTGACCTCCATTTCTAACTTCTAAGGGGTCGTTTGGCAGGAGGTATTAGAAAAAATAATACAAGCATTAGCTCTGTGCATTACTAATACCTTGTTTGATATATTTTTTCAACCTGTGTATAGCTAATACTTGTATTAATTATACATCATACTTGGTATTATCCTATGTATAAGTAATTCATAGAAACCATGACATTAGTAATACCAAGGCTATTAATGCATGCATTAGTATGGTTAAAGACAAAGTTGTCCTTAAAGTCCCTTAAAGCTAGAGAATGTAGAGGGCATTTTTGTAAACAACTTTTCAAAAAGGTTATGCAATGCATTATAATTTTTAATACAACACACCAAACAGTAGATAAGAAATAATATGTGCATAACTAATGCTTGCATTACTAAGTCATGCATACTAATCCATGCATTACTAATACACTTTGTTCCGCACTATTCTTATACACCTTACCAAACGACCCCTAAGTGGTCTAGAGAGTCGAATAGAGTTGCGATGTAAAACTGGTAGCTACCTGACAAGACAATTAAACTTTCAATCTTGAGAGCTTCATATTAAGTACTCCCTCCGTTCCAATTTATGTGAACCTGTTTGATTGGGCACGGAGTTTAAGAAAAAATAAAGACTTTTGGAATTTGTGGTCCTAAACAAATCAAAAAGGGGCCCAGAGTATTTGTGTGGTTATAAAAGCTTCTCAGTAATGGTAGAATTGTAAGTTTAAGCTAAATTGTTTCCAAATTTAAGAAAAATTCATTCTTTTTGGAGCGGACCAAAAAGGAAATAGGTTCACGTAAACTGGAACGATACTAATTATTAGCTTTAATACACTTGTGCTAGGCAAGATCGTCTTTCTTATTATATTGATAATAATTACTTACAGAGTAGTTTATATTTGCCATGTAATGGGGATAGTAGCTATCCTCATTTTCAATTACAACTTCCACTTGGGAAAATAGACCAATATATATACATATATAATTCAAATAATTGAGCAGCTCAAGGAATTGAATAAGCAAAACAATTAAAAAGAAGAGAGAAAGAAAGCTAAGCGGAATCTATTGGTTTTGTTTGTTTGTTTGTTTGTTTTCATTGAATGGATGAGTCGCCGCCGGAAGTGGTGAACTTTGGGAAATCTCTGTTAGTTCCAAGTGTTCAAGAGCTTGCCAACGAGCACCTTACTAATATTCCGGCAAGGTATGTCCGTCCTGAACAAGAATCTCCGGCCGTATCCGATGGAACGGTGGGTCCTACAGTCCCCGTTATCGATCTGAAAAAGTTAGTATCTGGTGATTCCATGGATTCTGAGCTTCAAAAACTTCACTCGGCTTGCCAACACTGGGGTTTCCTCCAGGTTTAAATTTCGTCATAATTTGTTTAGTTATTCAATTATACTAATTTCACCTAGCATATTAAAATTTAACTTTTATCACAATTTATTGTATTGTACTAAAATACTTCGGGAAAAAGGTCTAAATTTATCTCTTTACTCTTGACTATGATATAGGATTACGCTTGGTTATACTTCAGTTGGATCTCCATTAGAGTCAACTTCTCCTTTTTCTTTTCTTTTTCAGAAGGGACTTGTATTCATTTTCTCAGGAATGAAGCGTAATATCACAGTAATAGAATCTGAAATGCATAAGATTCCATGTTTTCTTCCTTCTCATTTACTGGTTCATCATTATGAATTTTAACATTTTTACCACTTCTCTTGAAAATGTAGCTTATAAACCATGGAGTGACACCTTCAATACTGGAGAACTTCAAGAGAGAGGTTATCGAATTGTTCAAACTCCCAATGGAAGAAAAGAAGAAGCTATGGCAACAGGAAGACAACCATGAAGGATTTGGGCAGCTCTTTGTTGTATCAGAGGAGCAGAAACTTGATTGGAGTGATATGTTTTATATAACTACTCTTCCCCCTCATATCCGGCAAATGGACTTGTTCCAAAAATTGCCTTCAAACCTCAGGTGCCTCTCTCCTCACTATCTCTCTCTTATGCCGTGGTACCCTCTCCCCCGAGGTCGTGTGTACACTGCAATACCCGTAAACGTTTGCAGCATAACACATCCATGTCTTATTTCACTTATATCTGATGTATAATAAAGCATATGTTTACTGGAGTTACATCTTTGAAAGGAAGATGCAAAGAAATAAACACACTTGTATTTAAAAAACATATAAAGAGTCCCATTTGTCAACACTTTCAGAAAACACACCATCTGAAAAGTGGTGTATTAAGATTAGAAGCTTTCATTACTTAGAAGTTATTTTTGCCGAATGGTTGTGTCCTATCCTATTCTGTTCTTATTTACTTTTATGCATATTCTGTTTATATACCTAATGGTTAGATATAAGAGATGATTCTAACACAATCTGCTGATAATCTTGGTACTCATCTTTCTGTCAAGTGGAATGCAAACATTGTGTTACTAGTTACTACTTTTAGATGATAAATGTGGTTTGATGGTTGTATAGTTTCAAGGTGATCATGATTGATAATTTCAAAATGCAGGGATATCATGGAAGCATACTGCAGTGAAATCAAGAGCCTAGCAATGATCATCCTATGTCAGTTGACAAAGGCTCTAAGGATGGATGAAAAGGAAATGAGAGAGCTATTCAGCGACGGTGTGCAGTCAATAAGGATGAATTATTATCCTCCTTGCCCTGAGCCAGACAAAACTATTGGCTTCAGCCCTCATTCTGATGCTGATGCTCTCACAATCCTTTTCCAGCTAAATGAAACTGAAGGCCTCCAAGTTCAAAAAGACGGCATTTGGGTGCCTATAAAACCCCTCCCAAATGCTTTAATTGTGAATATTGGCGATATTATGGAGGTAAAACATTCTTGTTGAGTAACAATTTCTCAAAGGTCGGTAACATAGTGAAAGTTGCAATTTTAGTGTGCAATCTATAGGTTAACTTCTGGTTTATTCACCGTGTTATCATGCTTCATATATTAACTCTTTTAAAATCTTGAAAGGACTTAATTCAGACCATTGGTTTTGCGAGTTAATAAAATTACACATGATTTAAAGTATTTACCCATTCTTTGCAAAGAGAAGAAGATGCTTTGAGGGGGGTGAAGTAGGGCAGTCTAAACATCTTCATTTTATTTGATTAGGTCAAAAACTTTCTTGTTTAGAACAAATTGGAATCAGCTCAAGACATGTCGATTAACAATAAATAAATATTACTAATCCATTTACTTGGAAATAAAGAGCTAATTTCAAAAAGGATATTAGTGAAAGTATCATTTTTTAATATCAACCTTACTGCTCAAAAAAAAATTCTATGCATGTGCAATTTTACTTGGCAGATAGTGAGCAATGGTGTTTATAGGAGCATTGAGCACAGAGCAGTTGTAAACTCAAACAAAGAGAGGCTATCTGTTGCAACATTCTACAGCTCCAACCTTGACTCGGAATTGGGACCTGCACGCAGCCTCATTGGACCAAGTAGTCCAGCAATTTTCCGAAGAGTTCCCGTGGAAAAATATTTCAAGGATTTTTTTGCACGAAAACTTGATGGAAAATCGTACATTGATTTCATGAAGGAAGAGGCAAGGGATGGCGAATCCTAGGTAGCAGTTGATACTTTAGTTGGTTATTAGCTTATCTATATCCAGTGAAATATTCTTACAAGTTACTCTTGCTATTGTAATTTGGAGTTCCACTGTTTGATAACAGTAATAAAGAAGAAGAAAAATATTGTACTCTCTGTTTCATTATATATGACGAGTTTGACTTAAATATTAACATAAATCTAAGATAATACTGCCGGAGCATCCAGTCTTGAATTGTAGTTCTCGTTGCCTGAAAACAAAGATGGAGGAAGAGGCTTTAGCATTGCTTCATGGTTCGGAGTGGTATGCTGCCAATGGTTTTGGTAGTTGCAGCTACATGTGAAATTCGAACCTAAGCGCTGAAGAATTCCTCGGAGGAAATTTGAAAACTATAGAAATTGCTTTCTTACTTGTGGCTTCCAATTCTCATTGTTTTAGAGAATCAAAGAGATGCGGTACACCGTTGGCTATGTAAAACTGGTAGTTGATGATGATACCAAAGACATATATTATATTCATAATTACTTAATAAATAAATGGCTTCGGAAGAAATTGATAAAACCAAAGCTAAATGGAATCTATAGCTAAAAGGATTCTACAGATTTGGCTTTGGCTGTTTGTTTTTGTTAGAATAGTCATGTAAATAAGAGTAAATAAATAACCCTAATTCAATATATATTAGGAGTAGGACATGTTATGTGTGTATATATATAGGGCTCATTGTAACATATGTCAATACATCAATAATATATTTTCTCCCGTGCTTTCTCACATGGTATCAGAGCTACGGTGAGAAATTTATAGTTGTGCGTCATTCCAGCGATATCCGGGAAGAAAGAACTCAGTTACCGTGCAATTTTCCGGTGACCTAAGTGACTTATTGCGTCAAAGTCACTAATTAACAGTGTTGTGCAAAATCCAACACCACCACAAGGTTCCCAAGAGAGATCCGACCAAACCCCAGAAAAAATCACCGGAAAACAGTCACCCACGTGCCGTCACGCGCCTGTCGGAGCACTGTTTCCGGCGGCGCGTCTGTCCCACGCGCCGGCGCGTGAGACCCCTTCCTGTCAGATTTCGGCTTCGCTCCTTCAGGACAGTTGGATCGCCCTGCAATTCCGAGCCTGTCCATATTTTTATTTTTTAATTCCGACCACTTTGAGTTTTTCCGGCGACTACACTGGTTTTTCCGGCAGCTACAGTACTTTCCCGGCAAACACAGTGTTTTCTTCATCTGTTTCAGAGAATTTTCAGTTGATTCTTTTTGTTATTTGGTGATAATCCAACCATGTCTTTGGGAGTCGATGCTTTCGGGTCTAGAAACCCGGGTTCTGGCAGTTCCGGTGTTATGATTACCTCAAACCTTTAATGGGAGGTTCAAACTACTTAGATTGGGCTTCATCTGTCGAGTTGTGGTGTAAAGGTCAAGGAGTTCAAGATCATTTAACAAAAAAGGCTAGCGAAGGTGATGAAAAGGCCAAAACACAGTGGGAGAAGGACGATGCTCAGTTATGTAGTATCCTGTGGCGATCTATTGATTCCAAGTTGATGCCCTTGTTCCGTCCATTCCATACATGTTATTTAGTTTGGGAAAAGGCTCGTAATCTATACACTAATGACATATCTCGTTTCTATGATGTAATATCGCGAATGACAAGCTTGAAGAAACAGGAATTAGATATGTCTACTTACTTGGGACAAGTTCAGGCAGTCATGGAAGAATTTGAGACGTTGATGCCAGTTTCTGCTAGTATTGAAAAACAACAAGAGCAACGACAGAAGATGTTTCTAGTTCTTACACTCGCTGGACTCCCTAATGACCTTGATTCAGTACGTGACCAGATTTTGGCTAGTCCAACCGTCCCCACAGTTGATGAATTATTCTCTCGATTACTTCGCCTTGCTGCAGCACCTAGTCACCCAGTGAGCTCATCACAGACACTTGACTCATCTGTCCTCGTATCCCAATCAGTGGACAATCGGGCATCTCATACTATGGAGAATAGACGAGGAGGACGTCGTTTTGGAAGATCTAGACCCAAGTGCTCCTATTGTCATAAACTTGGACACACTCGTGATGTATGCTATTCTTTACATGGCCGCCCAACCAAAAATGCTTATGTTGCTCAGAGTGAGACTACAGGTAACCAGGGATTTTCTTTATCTGAAGGGGAGTATAATGAGTTCCTTCAGTATCGAGCAAGTAAGCAGACATCTCCACAAGTAGCTTCTGTTGCTCAGACTAATACTTCTGTTGCTGGTAATTCTTTTGCTTGTGTTTCCCAGTCTAGTCCTCCTGGACAATGGGTTGTGGACTCAGCCGCTTCTGATCATATCTCTGGTAATAAATCACTTTTGTCAAATATTGCGTATTCACAGTCTCTTCCCACTGTTACTTTAGCCAATGGGTCTCAAACCAAAGCAAAAGGAGTTGGACAAGCGAATCCCCTACCCTCTGTCACTCTAGATTCCGTTCTCTATGTCCCTGGCTGTCCTTTTAATCTTGCATCTGTTAGTCGTTTGACTCGTGCCCTCCATTGTGGTATATATTTTATTGATGATTCTTTTATTATGCAGGACCGCAGTACAGGGCAGACGATTGGAACAGGACTTGAATCAGAAGGGCTTTACTACCTTAACTCCCTAAAATCCTCCAAGGCATGTCTAGTTACAGATCCTCCGGACCTAATTCACAGACGTTTAGGACATCCAAGCTTATCCAAGCTTCAGAAGATGGTGCCTGGTTTGTCTAGTTTATCCACATTAGAGTGTGAGTCATGTCAGCTCGGGAAACATACCCGAGCCTCCTATCCTCGTAGTATTGAGAGTCACGCAGAGTCTATTTTTCTTTAGTTCACTCTGATATATGGGGTCCCAGTAGAGTCAGTTCAACCTTGGGATTTCGTTATTTTGTTAGTTTTATTGATGATCATTCAAGATGTACTTGGATTTTCTTAATGAAAGATCGTTCTGAGTTGTTTTCTATATTCCAGAATTTTTGTGCTGAAATTAAAAATCAATTTGGTGTTTCCATTCGCACTTTTCGCAGTGATAATGCCTTAGAATATTTATCCTCTCAATTTCAGCAGTTTATGACTTCTCAAGGAATTATTCATCAGACTTCTTGTCCTTATACCCCTCATCAAAATGGGGTTGCAGAGAGAAAGAATAGGCACATCATTGAGACTGCTCGCACACTTCTCATTGAATCTCATGTTCCGCTGCGTTTTTGGGGCGATGCAATTCTCACAGCTTGTTATTTAGTTAATTGGATGCCTTCCTCTCCCATCCAGAATCAGATACCGTATGCAGTATTGTTTCCCCAATCACCCGTATACTCTGTTCCCCCTCGTGTTTTTGGGAGCACTTGTTTCATTCATAACCTAGCCCCTGGGAAAGATAAGTTAGCTCCTCGTGCTCTCAAGTGTGTCTTCCTTGGTTATTCTCGTGTTCAGAAGGGATATCGTTGTTACTCACTTGATCTTCGTAGGTACTTTATGTCCTCTGACGTCACATTTTTTGAGTCTAAACCTTTCTTTACCTCTTCTGACCTTTCTGACCCCCTTGATATATCTGAGGTCTTACCTATACCGACCTTTAAGGAGTCTACTATAGCTCCTCCTTCACCTTCCGCCACAGAAGTCTTACCCGAGTCTCCTATAGCTCCTCCTTCACCTTCCGCTATAGAAGTCCTATCCATTCCAACCGTTGAGGAGTCTAGACTCCCTGCCACAGGAACACCACTTTTGACATATCATCGTCGTCCGCGCCCAGCATCAGGTCCAGCTGATTCACGTCCTGCACCTGACCTTGCTAATACTGCGGACTTGTCTCCTCTTAATCAACCGATTGCACTTCGGAAAGGTATACGGGCCACCCTTAATCCTAATCCCCATTATGTCGGTTTGAGTTATCATCGTTTGTCATCACCCTATTGTGCTTTTCTATCTTCTTTGTCCTCTGTTTCCATCCCTAAGTCTACAGGTGAAGCATTGTCTCATCCAGGATGGCGACAAGCTATGATTGACGAGATGTCTGCTTTACATACGAGTGGTACTTGGGAGCTCATCCCTCTTCCTTCAGGTAAATCTACTGTTGGTTGTCGCTGGGTGTATGCAGTCAAGGTTGGTCCGGATGGTAAGGTTGATCGTCTTAAAGCTCGTCTTGTTGCCAAAGGATATACTCAGATATTTGGGCATTACAGTGATACCTTCTCTCCTGTGGCTAAGATAGCATCAGTCCGCCTTTTTCTATCCATGGCTGCTGTTCGCCATTGGCCCCTCTATCAGCTGGACATTAAGAATGCTTTTTTACACGGTGACCTTGAGGATGAAGTTTATATGGAGCAACCACCTGGGTTTGTTGCTCAGGGGGAGTCTCGTGGCCTTGTATGTCGCTTGCGTCGGTCACTTTATGGTCTAAAGCAGTCTCCTCGAGCATGGTTGGTAAGTTCAGCACAGTTATTCGAGAATTTGGCATGATTCAGAGTGAAGCTGATCATTCTGTATTCTATCGGCATTCTGCCTCGAGTCTCTGTATTTATCTGGTGGTCTATGTTGACGACATTGTTATTACCGGCAATGACCAGGATGGTATTACTAAATTGAAGCAACATCTCTTGCAACACTTTCAGACTAAGGATCTGGGCAAACTAAAGTATTTTCT